GAAGTTAAAATTGAACCTAGAGATGATTCTGATTGTAAGTTATTCGAATCGTCCAAAAAATTGTGTGTATGAAGATATCGTTGTCTCAAATCTTCATCTGGTAATAATTGTTTGTTTTGTTTATGAAGCTCTTAAGGAGACAGAATCCCAAAGTGAAGTAGAAATCCTTGAGAATGTAGGTTCAGAGGTAGGCTGGGGCAGTAGCTCTAACCCCTTTGTACCTTCAGTGGAACGTTGCCTGAATGTATGCTTTCAATTCTTCTGCTACTTTCACTGGTTCTTTTGGTCCCTCTTTTATTTTATGTTACCTCTTAGTTTAGGTTCACCATTATAATTCTTGTAACCATTGGCTGCTAATTTTGTGTATCTAGCTGGATGCAACAATCATAGATTCTAGGTACAGGAAGGAGGTTTTGAATTTAATGAGGACGCCCTACAATGAAGAGGAGTATAAGAAGCTCTGGAAAGACATTAGGATGCGATTACCATCTAGCTCAAGAAATGGACGTGGGAAATCCCTTCTATCACTCCATAAAGGTAGGTTAATAGCCTGCGGTTTGTTTTCCAGCATCATGGCATCTGCATTTTGAATGTTTCTCTTATGTCTTGAATTTTTCTCCGGTCATACCTTGATTTCAAATTTATGTTATCACTTTTAAGATAGTATCCAATTCCATAGGATTCCTCCTCTCTCATTTAGATAACTTAATAATAGTTTCTTGCCTTGTTCTTTCGCCAAAAAAATGAACTGAACTTGCTAGTAAAATCTTTACCATCTGATTGATAAAAAGTTTTGACTTTTTTCAATCTCACTTTCATGTAGCTCGTAGTTGTTCTCCTTCTGTTTTCTCTACACTTTTATTGTTTTATTTCCACTAGGCGTGGAAGAGTAGAGTGTTTTTAGACTATTAAAAAGGGAAACATTCAGATCTTTCTTTTTAGAAGTTCCCATTGATCATTGTTGTACCTTTTCAACTGACTCAACATTTTGTATGAACAAGGCATGACCAACTATGTTGCTTGGACTCTTCAAAAATGTCATCGGGTATATGTAGTGCATTTTTGGAGGATCCGACATGGGTGCGGCAAATTTTTTGGAGAGTCGAAGCAACTTAGATGACCAATGTAACTTTTGATACAATATAATGTTCACTCAGAGAGAAGTGCCAGTGGAAACAATAGTCATGCAAGGCAAGTGACCTCATAAAAAAGAAGAAGTGATGTAAGGCAAGTGGACAAGTAGTGACTCCAAGAAAGGGAACAAAGGAAACATTTCTAGGAAGGAATAACTGCTTTTGAAGTCTGAAAGCCACACCGAGAAACAAAAGACTAACCGCCTACAATTTGTTTTCCAGAATCGTGACATCTCCTTGCATGACTAACAGCCTACAGTTTGTTTTTCAGAATCGTGACATATCCTTGCATTATGAATGCTTCTCTTGTGTTTTGATTTTTTCTCAGGCCATTCCTTGGTTCAAATTTATGTAGTCACTTCTAAGATAGTATCCAATTCCATATAATTCCTGCACTCTCATCTAGAAAATTTAAGAATAGTTTCCTGCCTTGTTTTTAACCAAAAGTTGAACTGAAATTGATAGCAAATCTTTATGTAGTCACTTTTAAGCTAGTATCTAATTCCATAGAGTTCCTGCACTCTCATATTTATGTGACTCATAGTAGAGTATGTTCTCCTTTTTTTTTTCTCTCACTTTAATGATATTACTTTCACTGTGTGTAAGAGTAGTGTGTTTTTTTTAGTTAGTCAGAAAAAGGAAACATTTAAATCTTTCTCTTAAAAGTTCACATAGATCAATGTATCCCTTTTTAATTTGATTAATTTTTTTTATATGAACGAGGCATGACCAATGTTCTCCTTTTGTTTCCTCTCTCACTTTTATGATATTACTTTCACTGTGTGCAAGAGTAGTGTTTTTTTTTTTAGTTAGTGAGAAAAAGGAACATTTAGATCTTTCTTTTAAAAGTTTACATAGATCAATGTATCCCTTTTTAAAACGAAAAAGAAATTTGCTAGATGGAAGGCACAATACCTATCCCTAGGGGGTAGATTGATCCTCATAAACTTTGTTCTGGACTCTTTGCCAACCTATGTGATGTCCTTGTAAAAAAAAAAAAAAAAAAAAAAAAATTACCCCTGGTGTACTAATGCAGCTCTCTGGAAGGAGGTTATAGTAGCAAAATATGGAGAACTAAATCCCTGGTGTACAAAAATCACCTCTGAACCATATGGGGTGGGGGTATGGAGGACAATCAGGAACCTATGGCCACAAATGGAAGGAAATGTGTATATTAAGGTGGGTAATGGAAACAAAACTAAATTTTGGAAAGATGGCTGGATAGACCAAACCTCTCTTAGAGAACTTTTTCCAAACAAATCTGTGAGAACCCTGATGCTAGAGTGAGTGATTGTTGGACAGAACAGGGATGGGACATATCTTTAAGAAGACTACTTAATGACTGGGAGGTGGAGAGGGTGGCAGCGCTACTGGAAAAACTAGCTGGAATGATTATAACTACAACAGCAACAGACAAGATCCTGTGGAAACATAGTAAGGATGGAGTCTTCTCAGTCAACAATGCTTACAAAAAGGACTACAGGGGATGACAGGGTCCCCAAAATATAATTGGAATTACTTTTGGAAGAGTGACATTCCTACAAAAGTAAAGTGTTTCACCTGGTTAGTGATAAAGAGAGCATGTTTAACTGAAGAAGTTCTACAAAAGAAAGGCAGACAGTTGGTCCCTAGGTTTTTTTTGTGCAACTTGACAGGGGAAACAAATAACCATCTCTTCCTGCATTGTAAGTTTAAGTTTATTGATCAAATTCGGAACTTGTTTCTCAACATCACAAGCATGAACTGGACAATGCCAGAACATACATCAGATCTGTTGAGCTGCTGGATTAGGAGGGGAGGCAATAAGCTCTTGGTGTTGGATTTAGAGATCAAGAGGAAAATGAAGAAGAGGTTTGTGGATGACCGGATCAAATGGGGTTGCTTGTCTATGGCCAATTCCCAGGAAATGAGGGAGAAGTTGGTGGCGGACGGGTGGGGGGTTGGGGTGTAGTGGAGATGCAAATAGTATGTGAGATAGGCTCGCTAGATGCATTAGGGATTTGGCTGCATATGTGGCTCTAATCCCTAAAAAAATGTGTGTTATTCTTGAGGGATTTCGGACCTAGAAATCTCATTAGTGGAATTTACAAAATCATTGCCAAAGTGCTAGCGGAAAGAATGAAACAAGTGATAAGTAAATTGGTGAACAAGCATTAGATGGTATTCCTAAAAGGCAGGCAGATTATGAATGCTTTAATAACAACAGAATGTGTGGATACCAGAATGAGAGGTGAGGAAGTAGGCATCATGTGCAAACTTGTCTTGGAAAAAACTATGATCATGTAAACTAGGGATTCCTTTAGAGCATCTCAAGGCAGATGGGGTTTGGGGACAAATGGCTTAAATGAATAGATTTTTGCATTAAAACTATGGAGGGTGGAGGTGGGGGTGGGGTGGGGTGGTTTACTCTGAAAAGGGCTTGAGACATGGAGATCCCCACTCTCCTTTCCTATTCATTTTAGGCTTCATTTGTTCTCGTTAAGATTTAAACTTCTGAATATGATTGCACATTTGAATGATTAAGATGTTACTGGATCTGAACGCCGTATAATTAGGATTGTTTGTTTTTCAGCATCTGAATATACATTATTTATATGTACATAATAAATATACAATCCAAGTAAAAATTAATTAAATATTAAAAAAGAATTAATAAAATAAAATTATTATTTGATTTTAAGAAAATAAAACACTTACACTTACTAGTGATGGTAGAGATAGTTTGTAGTGGTGGCGGTGAACTTGTAATAGTAATAGTTGTTGTTAGTGGCTAGTAATGATGGTGATGATAGTTGTGGCTCTACAGGTGGTTGGTGTTATGGTGACAATTGGTAGTGGCGTTGGTGGTTATAATGATGAAGTTGGTTGATTTTAGTAGTTGACAGTGTTGATGCTGATTGCTGAAGAATGTGTGGTGGTTGGTGATGTGTTTGTGTTAGTTGAAGGCGGTGCTAGTTATGATGGTGAAAGTGACTGGTAGTAGAGATTGACCACAGTAATGGTAGTGGTTGATAGTAATGGCGGAGGAGGTGGCAGCGGTGGTGAGCAAAAAATAAATGGTGGTAGTTGGTGGCGAATCTAGTTCTGATGGCGAAGTTTGTTGGTAGTAGGTATTGACTATAGTGAGTGGTGGCTACTACAGAGACGAGAGTGGTGGCGGCAATGGATATAATTATAATGATGGAGAAGGTAAGTGTGGTAGCAGCTTACAATAGAGGTTAGCAACAATGGTGGTTGTGATGATAGAGATGGTTGGTGGTAGATGACAATGATGAAAGTGGTGATTGTGATGACAAAGGTGGTTAGTGGTGGTGGCTGGTAATTGTGGATAGAGTGATGGTGAATATTATCCACACAAGAATACCTCTTAATGATATTAAGACTCTGTTCTAGATCTTAATGATTAAGACTTATTCAGACCAATGAAGTGCTTAAATCTTAATATGAAAACAAATGCACTTAATGGTCTAATGTTTGAACCATTCAGGCCTCCATTAAGTGCAAACAAATGAGGCTTAAGTACTTATACATTAATGAAAACAAATGAAATTAATGGTCTGATGTCTGAACCATTCAGATTCAAACCTCCATTAGGGGCAAATAAATGAGGCCTTAGCCATGGAAGGAATGAACAACATGTTGAGGGTAGCTACTCAAAATAGATGGACCAGGAGCTTTAAAGTCAGCAACATAACAGACCCCGGGTATGGAGATTTGTTAGCCTGTGTATACTGATGACACTATGATTTTTTGTGAAACCAAGGTGGAACAGATAAGATACATCAGGGAAATACTTGTGATACTGGAGGTAGTATCTGCACCAATCGTCAACTGGAAAAAGAGCAGTCTTTTCCCCGTCAAGGAGGAAGCGTAGATGCAAAATCTTGCAAATATTCTCGGCTGCAGCATAGAGAAACTGCCTACGACCTATTTGGGCATGCCATTGGGTAGTAAACAATAGATTATAGACATAAAGAATAGCTAATATGGGATGGGATAATCCAGAGATCAGCAGGTACCCCGGATCAGCATCCTGCACGTCGTTGATCCAGCTGAGCACTCCAGAGTCTGTGGTGAGCCTCCTTGCATTCCGGAGGACTCAATTATTTTGTGTACTTAGTTTTGTTCTATTAGGATGTTGCGGGGTCTGTCCCCACATCCATCTCAGTTCATTAGAGGCTTTATAGACAGTCAGACAGTCAGTCAGTCAGTAGTTTTGAGTCTCTCATCCATGTATATGTATGTATATGTAAATATTCTATTTTGAGACTCGAGTTGCCCCTTTGGGCCTTATTTTTATCAGTTAAGTTGTTTATGTCTTTGCATGGCATTGAGTTATTCTGTTGAGTCAGGTTTCCGCTGAGTTAAGAAAGTCAGGCCAAGGGTTCGCATGGGCCAGCAATGGTCTCCAAGTGCCGGTCCCGCCCAGGGTGTAGGCTCGGGGCGTGACAGGGAGAAGCAAACGTCAGAACAAATGGTTGAGAATGATCTCAGCTTGCATTTGGTGGACAATATGGAAGGAGAGGAATGAAAGATGTTTTGAGAATAAAACAAATTCCAGCCAGAAGGTCAAAGAGAAATGTATTGTCTCCTTTTATTTTTGGTGTAAAGAGGAATGTATAGAAGAAGCAGAACAATTAGTAGATTTGCTAGGTTCACAGTAATTAGCTTTGTGTTTTACTCTCTGTTAGCAAATTTTGGAGGTCTCCAGATATCCTTAACGTTAAGGAATACAACATTACCAATTTCAAAAAACAAAAAACGAACCGGGGGAGGTGATTAGACAAGACTTGATATAGCTTTAACTTATTGAGGACATGACCATAGATAAGAAGGTATGGAGGTGGAAGATTAGAGCGAAGGTTAGTAGGTAGCCAGATGTTGCCGCGCATTATGTGGGAGATATAGGGGGCTAGCCTCCTCTATCCTCTTCTCACTATTGGTAGTATTATTTAGTAATTGCGTAGTTTCTTGTTCTTCTATGATACTATTTATTTCTTCATTTGCTTTGGATCTTGTTATTTGGTGGTTATATTTTTCTTGCAATCCTTTCATGATTCCATACCTACCGACGGTTTCATTTGGAGGATGTCGGACGTATGATACACCAGTTTAAGCGAAATGCTCTTCCCTTACCGGATGTGTGATGTTTGTACCATTTTTTTAATGTAATCATTTCTCGTCTGGTCTAATCTTTTATCACCGTACACCCATCTTAATAGATGCACTTCTGCCAGACTCATCTCGTGGAAATCTTGGACTTTAGAGGTCCAATATGTACTCTTATATAGCATCATTGGTCTTACAACTATTTAATAACATTTGCTTCACTTTAATAAGTATCTTTCTATCACATAACACTCCCATATTCTTCCATTTTGATCATCCTATTTTCATTTCATTCATCAATGGTGCTGGTGTTGCATGAACCTGATCGACCCAAAAGGCATGGCCAAGATGAGCACGACCATCATAAAAATTCGGTATCCAGTGAACTTAGTAGTTTGCTTGGATTATTAAAGCGGTAAAAGTTCCACTCATGGATAGAGACATGGAAATGCGATAGGCTTGTTGTCTTTCTTTTTCATCCTCGGGGAATTGAACTCCCTTAGGAAAAAATAAAGAGTGAAAGATGGCTTCTTTCACCTTAAAATCATTTTGTAATAGGTTGGTGTAAGAAGAGAACTGGAATTTTCTCACTCAATTGGCTGTCTAGGCACCAGGAGTAGTGTGTCTTTCTGTTTGGACAGTTGCATAGGAACTATGTTGAGAACTTAAAAAACAAAGAAAAACACAAATTAGCATGTCTTTATGTGAAACAGGGTGGTGATCTTATCAATCATATACATAGATTGTAATGCTTCTGGTGGAATATGTTTGGCCCATAATCAGTGATTGTTAGAAATTATTTGAGATTTTTTACTACAAAGGATTTCTGGAGGAAGAGGAGGAAATTAAGACATGGGAAATAGCTCATTTGACGCTAATGTGAACTATAAAAAAACAAAAAGGCTCTTAAGGGACTTGAAAACTCTTTTCAACAGAGTGCAACCCTTCCTTATTTTCTGTATACTTTTGGAGAGAACGTGATATTTTAGGATGTATTGATGCAAGATGCTATTTTAAGGGAATAATGTTTCTATGTAAGACTATGTTGTATGAGGTGGAGTGTTGGCCAGTTAAGAACTCATCCTCAAAATATGAGAGTGGTGGAAATAAGGAGATTAAGGTGCATGTGTGTACATACTAGGCGAGATGGTTATTGTTATCGCTCCTATTATTTGAATGCTATGTTATGCTTTCTCTATTATTTTGTATGTCCAGTTTCTGTTTTTATTTAACTACTCTAATGTGTGTTACTTGAGCCGAGAGTCTTTCGAGAACAACATCTCTACCTCCACGAGGTAGGGGTAAGGTATGTATACATTGTGCCCTCCCCAAACCATGCTAATGGGACTACACTGAGCTTGTTGTTGGGTTTGCTGTGTTTGTTGTTGTTGTAGTCTTCTATGTGAAAAATTATCTAACCATGTTAATAAATTATGATCCTCACTATAAAGGTAGAAAATCTACTTGAGAAGGTAAGAAGTTGGGAATATAGACACTTGTTTGTAAATCCTATTGATCAAGGAAAGCAATAAAAATTTAATTAAGAGTTCATCCATAATTAAGAGCTGTGGATGTAGCGGGATTGCACATAAGAGATGCATAGTTTTTTCAAGTTTTGTGTTCCTTAAACAACAAGAATAGGGTTCCCAATTAGCTTCCAGTAGTTTATGTTAGAGAAGAGAAAAAGTTACCATTTGATTGCTATTTTCTGTACCACTTTGTATCCAATCAGTGATGTGATCACCATATCAACAACAAATTATTAATACATTTTCATTGTCAAAAATGCAGGTGTCAATCAGGAAATCAAAAGGGCCGGTCCTGACAAAGATAAAAAGTTGAACATCATGCGTGGATTTTTCTTTTGGTTAGAGGTGAAGGCTATTTCCCTACCATATATTGACCTCAATGAACGTTCCGTTCTTTTCTGTGTTTAACATGCTCCTTGCAGTGACCATGCATGTGAATCTCCTCTCACTCATTCCAGAATGAAAACCACAGTATGAAATACCCTTTTCCCACCAATCCACTTGCTTATCTTCAGATTCCTCGAACCAATGGTTGCTATTGTCCTATCAGTCATTTGCCTCTAAATTATGAAAGTACTGCATTTTGACCTCAAAAAAACATGAAACACTACTTTGGCTTGCTCAAATGTACTTTTCTGACTCCAAATTTTCAAGGTTCAGCAAGGATAACAGATCTAAATTCTACATCCATGTATCTTATTGTCAAAATTCTGATGTATGAGCCAATGGAATTTCAGTAGTTACAAAGATTGACAAATGGAATGAGAACAAACCGAGGGATAATCAATGCCTTTCATCTCAAATTGAAGCATGAAAAATTTTCATTTACCGTTATCTTTCTCATTATTGCTTGTTCTGCTGAAGCTAGTGGCTTATACTAAAAGTATATTTTGTTTCAATATCTCCAGCATCTAACTCAGCAAGATGCATTCCAGCCTTGGGAGGATGAAGAATGTCTCCAGACGAAGCCTGGATCTTCCTAGAAGCTGTTACTTTTTCCCATTTCCCAATGTCAATGTGTGCCATAAAAACAAGAAATGGAAGAAAACCAACAACAATTATTGTGCCTTAGTCTCAGATAAGTTGGGGTCGGCTATATGAATCCTTATTGAGGATATTTCCTTATTTAACCTCAACTCATGTTTTGTAGAAGAAACCCAAAGGTTAATATTTCAATTACTGGTCGATAACATTTGTGTTGTGCATGATCCATTTGGGAAAAGTTTTCAAGACAGACAGAGAAGGTGAAAGTTTCTTATATATTGTATTGGATTTCTCCGGTATACAGAAGTTTTCTTATGTAGTGCTCTATGTCTGAAGTCTGAACCTATTAGACGAAGCGTGTACTCTGTCAATGGAGCTCCCTGGTCGTGGTGAAATATTGGAGTTAGCATCTCTACATCTAATCTATTTGGTACAAGAGTGATTACATAAAAACATTTTAGTTTTAGAATTAACTTGCCTCAGTTACTACTAATGGTGTAAAATAGGTAACATAATTAAGTTTGTATTAAAAGAGAAGTTTTCATTACCTCATAATGATCAACAAATACTGGCCTTGGCTTCTTTTAACAGTGGTAACAACTCTTAGGGTGTGTTTGGTATGAAGGATAACATTTTCTTCATACCAAACACACCCTTAATTGCAAACATTTTCATGGAAGGACACTATTATGAAATCGTGAGCAAAATTTAAAGCCTAGAGTGCTATTTGAAATATGATTTTGTATATATCATGAAACAAAATTCCCGCTATATTTGATAAATGAAGAATAATTTTATTGCTTGGGAATTTATTTTTTTTATTATTATTTTTTTTTTATTTTTTTATTAAAATAAAAATCCTCAATAGAAATAAGTACAAGCAACGGGGCTAGGCCTTACTTTGTCAATCCTAATGAGGCAACAAACCTCTGCTAATTAACAAACATGAAAAAAATAAGAGCTAGAGAGAATTAGGTATTCTATGATCATCATAGAATTTGTAATATACTCTATGATGATATTACAAATCAGAATACTTGAAAAATGCACAAATATAAAATCCAAGAAGAAAGTTGAGTTATTAACCTCAAACTTACTTTTACAAATGCGTGAATTAAAAATAGATAGATAGCCCATCTAAAGTAACCTGAAGTATTTTCAACTTGTCTGCTTCTTCAAATCTGTCCAACAAAACTTGATAGTTCATGACTTCTTCTTGGATGTATTGGATCTTGTTGAAGCTATTGACATTGTTATATGGTTTTACTTTGCCAGTCACATCGATAGGTGTCTTGGAACAAACTCTCTTGTCACTGTACCATCCCAACTGTGATGTGTGTCTTCTTTTTGTTTTTGTTGCTTCCACTTCTTTGATGCC